TGCGGGAAACTCTGCAAAAAACGCATCTTCGCACGGGCAGCCCGTGCGTTGGCCATTTATTTTTTTATGTTGCAGAATTTGGGACGTATTTACGTGATGATGTTTGTCTCAGGCGTCATTTTTTGGATCATCTTGCTAATGATACACACGAAATGTACATTGGTCTTACTTCGCAATTGCTTACGAATTCGAAGAGCTGCTGCACCGGTTTTTATTTTACTCTTAAAAAATCATAATGAACGGAAACATAGAAGTATTCACTTTTATTTTAGAAGAATCGTAGTATGAAATGAATCGAGCCCCCTAGTGTGTGCCACTACCATTTACCATCGAAACGAGTGGATGAAATATAGGGGGATTTTTGACTGTTAAAACTATGATCAATGAATTATTTTCCTTTGAACAGTTGCCGCTGTACTAATTTAATTACTCACTGGAATAAATCATTGAATTTAAGGATAATGATAAGGAAGACGAGGATGTGATAAATGAACGGGGGCGCATGAACGTATATGACAGTGACGGAGTGCTTGCTGTCCGTGAGTTAAACAAATTCCATGGAAAAGTACATGCCGTACGAAATCTCACATTTGGCATCAAACCCAATGAATGTTTTGGCTTATTAGGTTGCTGCTTGTACTTTCTTCAAGCTTTTCTCATTTTTAAGTGTTTTCTTGGGACGCAAAAAAAATCTTTCTGGCCTGAACAGATCTGTCATGGTGATTCAGCTTTGGAAACACAGAAAGAGCAGATAATTTAAGCACTGATGATTTATTTTCACAGTCACAAAATGAACAGATGACTCAGTCACCTTATGACTCAACATTTGCCATGATTTAACCACCTGTTGCTTCAGAAGAATGGCTGTAAATGATTTGCTAGGGAAACAGAAAAAGAAGGCGATTGCTGCTATGAAAAAGATGTTTAAGAATTGGTTCAGCCCCTGAAACGCGAAAGTTTAAAATAACTTAATTCACAGTTAGCGAAAGCCAAGCGCGACTAAAGATCGGATGTTTGTGGCAGTGCTGTAACCTTAGTGTCTCAAAAATTTTAAAGATACAAGCAATGAATGTCTCTGAAAAGGAGACTGAAAGAGAATGGGCGCCTGAAGCCTTCCATATGTTAACATATGCAGTTTGTTTGGCTCTGTTGGCCCACTATGAAGAGAAACACAATCGAATTTTGACAATTAACGAAAAATTGAAAGTACCATTTAGATCTACCAAATAAGCAAGCCTGTACATACAGTGAGCTGGTATCCTGTCTCTCTCTCTCATCTCTGAGCTTAAACACGCTGCAGAACCTTACTTATTCAGCAGTTCACCACAGAATGAAATTCTGTTATTCTTTTCGGGAACAATACATTTTTCGACGCTGAAATACTTGGGAGCGATTGGATGGTAGCAGTTTTGCAAGCAGCAGCAGCAGCAGCAGTCACGGGTTAACCAAGTTGTTGATGGCTTGTGTTTCGAAGATTGCTTTGTGAGTTGCAAGAAACCGGCTCAAAAAGAGGGTGGAACTCGCTGAGGATTTAGATTTTGCAGATGTCCAATGAG